CTGAGTGTAGCCTTGAGCAACTAGTCTCGTCTTGTTCCGTGTCACATTCCCGAACTTGTCAGTTTTGTTCTTGAAGATCCATTTGGTTCCGATAACATTTCCCGAGGAAGGTTCATGTACTAACTCCCAGACATCATTTCTAGCGAATTGTTCCAGTTCTTCCTGCATGGCTAAGATCCAGCACTCATCTTTCAGAGCCTCTTTAGCATTCTTGGGTTCAAGGAGTGAGGTGTAGCAAGCATAATGAGAGACACCCATAAGTTCTTTGACTGACGTCTTCGAGTTCTAGTAACTCTCTCATTTATGTCACCAATGACTTGCTCGGGTGGATGGTCTTTCTGAACCCTTAAGGGAGGATCACGCCTAGGTAATTCAGAACCTTCATGGGTCGCAGAGACAATGTAGTCAGTTGATGTTTCAGCATTCTCAACAGAAAGTTCAGTTATCTCCTTGTCTGTAGAGCTCTTAACACCCTGAGTTTCCTGCAATGCCTCAACATTTTCAAACTGATTAAAGGATACAGAAGAACTAACTTGAGAATTTTTTTCATCAAAGATTACATTTATGGACTCAATCACAGTGGAGGTACTTGTGTTGTAAACACGATACGCTCTACTATTGTTAGAGTAACCAAGAAAGAATCCAATATCTGATTTTGCATCGAACTTCCCAAGTTGGACACGATCATTATAGATAAAACATTTACACCCAAAAATATTCAAGTGACTGAGGTTAGGACTCTTACCTTTCCAGAGTTCATATGAAGTCAGACCAATACCTCGACGAAGGTACACACGATTCACGAGGTAGCATGTTGTATTGATTGCCTCAGCCCACCATCTAGAAGAAATGTTTTTGGAGTTCAACATGACTCTGGCCATTTCTTGTAGAGTACGATTCTTCCTCTCAACAACTCCATTTTGCTGAGGAGTTTTAGGAGCTGAGAACTCGTGACTAATACCCAGAGAATCACAAAATTCAACAAACTCAGAATTTTCAAACTCTCATCCATGATCGCTTCGAATACTTATTATGGGAAAACCTTTCTCAGTTTGAACCTTCAAACAGAGTGACTTAAAGGTAGAAAATGTGTCAAGACTTTTCACGCAAAAAATCAACCCAAGTATATCGAGAGAAGTCATCAACGCACACAAA